ACAACAGTAGGTGTCCAACTCGTCCAAAATCAAAATTGCCGACTGACTACCAAAAGGCTGGGACACGTGAAAAAGGCGGGTAAAATTCCATTTTTGATAACCGATAAACCGTTGTGCGACATCATTGAAGCTGACTAGTGGGTCACTGTAAAATCCCGCAGTAGCCAATATGGAGTAGGCATCGCTACCGGCAGCAATGTAGGTGGAAATTCTTGTACTAGCATTGGAAAGCGTCCAGTCTCCTTCCAGCGAAAGAGTTTCAGGTCTGACAGCCTGCACGAACAGAAGCGTTAGAATAGCTCTGCTTAGCATGTAGGTCTTCCTCCTGTGGCCTCAGTTAAATTTGTGAATTCTCACTTTTACGCACTCTGGTGCGTAACTGATTCCACACAGCTTCACCGTAAACAATGGCAGAGATTTGTGAACAGATGACTGTTTACATTTCTGTTTGACCTTTAAATCCTCACTCTTCCGGCTGTCAGTTTTACAGATAGAAACCATCTAATAACGACTCTTTCACCGGCAATGCAGGTCAAAAAACTCCTCGGATGGATTCAGAGGCATTAACGAACGCCAATATCATACGGCCGAGTGTCGCCAATGGCAGTCAACGTGACGTGAGACTGTGACTCAAATGATCAAGTAATTTAGATTAAGTTGTTCGTAAAAATCTGATGATATTCAACGCTAATGTCCTCGAGATCTGGGATATTTACACTTGATACGGTTATAATTAGGCCTGATCCAACCGACTAGATGGTGTCACGGATTGTACCTCTCCACGCATGACGATTGGCGCGAGTTAGTCTGGAAAGCTCAATTAATGCTCCTCTTTAGCGTCGAAAACCGAATACGGAAGGTCCAATCACCGCTTTAATGTCTTGATGTGCTGTGTCGAGAGCTGGAGTTGCCTTGCTCAGGTAGACAGCGCCTTCGGATCGAGGGCAGTATAACAGGGTTCCTGAGGCGGAGGACGGGAAACGTGCCCAAACCACCCCAGTCGTCTATCCTGAATGGCCTGGGATACACTCGCAATACCGCCGCAGTGAGTGCCGACCGCCTCATTTGAGTCGAGGTTGGTGTATTTCACTTGAATAAAAGTCGACTGATGTTGATGCAAAAGAGCCAGAATTAGCCGCTCCATTTCCCTTTGTCCGAACTGGTAGCATTTTTCGAGTATCAGTTACTCGTTGCTAGGCAACGATATGCAGGAGTTGTCGAACGAGGCTCAAATGAAAAGAAGGTGTACTTATATCCTATCCTGCAATCTGGAGGCACCAGTAAGAGTCACATGTTCCTTAAGAAGCAGAGCTCACTTTTTCTATGAGGATTCACCGTTTTCCGATTCTAGCTGGTTTCATGTCTGCGCAAAAAGGTGGCCAATGTCATCGTTGCTTTAAAAATGTCCAATTTTACTGCTAAAAAATTAGTCACTAGCATGGTGAGAAATCAAAAGCATATAAGCCGAAGTGTCAATTGTATAATGTTTTTGGAAAAGTAATGGCTTATATTTTGACTCGCTTTAAAACTCGAAAGTAAGTGCTATTTTTGGGGCGTTTATACAAAATGGTACACTCTTAAATATTGTTGTTTGATCTTTAACAATTACCCCATATTTTCCTTCAGGGAAGCACAATAACGAAGACGAAAAAAGAAACGTATTTCCTTTTCTTACGTAATTTCAAACTCGGTCAGAATTTTTTCCAGGTAACCACCAATATCAATAGAGCATGGAAAGCACGGTCACCAGTGATTGGACAGTACAAATATAGTTCCAGAAAAACTGTTTGGCAATGCGAGCCTTGAAGCTGAGGGAGGTTAAGGACGGAAAGGCAATCTTAAAAATGAACCTTTGAAAATACTTGCTGAAGAATACCCATGTAAATGGGTCATAAAATGTCTGAGGCACTCGATATCAGTAGTTAAACGGTGTCCGGTGTTTTCAAGTGTGCGCGATGCTCTCTCCTAAACTATAATGATGTATTTCTTAGTCAAATAAAGATGTTCGACGAAATATCGATCCTTTATAATACCCGTAGGCGATGCAATTAATGGTTTTCTCGTGATGAGGCGCCCACACAGTGGTAACAACAGAGAAGAAGCGAATATTCACCAGGGTCCAATTTCAAGGGGACGGGCCAAGCGAACTTCTAAGGAGGCGCCTGGGCCAAGCCGTAGCAACCACCTTCCCAGCAGCCAACGCCCATGCACTGGTCTCGACTACTACCATCCCATACGGTGAGATCAAGGATAAACTGCCAGCCCAGACCACCTCTATGTGCATTTATTCATTTACCTGCTCCTGTGGGGCAGATTGTATTGGTCGCAAGAGCCAGCGTTTGTCCAAAAGAGCTCAAGAACACATTCCAGTATGGTTAGGAAAGGGCCAAATAAAGTGTGTAAACGGTTCCATTCTAGCGCATCTGGTGGATTCAGACCATCGCGTGGATGCAAAAGAGGCCTTCCGAATGATCTCCAAGTTACCCTCAAGGTATTCAAAATTTCC